TCTCTCTCTCTCTCTCTCTCTCTCTCTCTCTCTCTCTCTCTCTCTCTCTCTCTCTCTCTCATATCTTTAGCCAAGAAAGGTTTATTTATGGTTCTAAGTATCGGTATAAAACATGGAAGGTTAATGTTTTTAAAATATGTTGTACAGACAAGCAGAATTGAGAATGGTTAAAAAGCAAAGCTGAAATTTCAGGGGAAGGTTTTACCAGTATTGTTACTTATTAAATGTACAGGACAATGGGAACCATTTAAAGAACTTTGGCGTAAAAAAAAAAATATATATATATATATATATATATATGTGGGTAACACTTTACAATAAGGTTCATTAGTTAATGCATTTACTAACATGAACTAATCATGAACAACACATATTTCTTGATTCAGTTTCAAATAACATGAATTAATCATTTAACATACGTAAACTTGATTTGTTCTTTTCAATCTGACAAATTTTTATTTTGTAAATCCAATACATGCCTAGTTGATTTTTTAAAATGTAGTATGCCTTGATTCAGTAGATAGCAGAACTATGGGGGCCACATAAAATATCCTAAGTTGAGTAGGGTTCTGCTTTTTAGGAGAGTGATTAATCGCCTCTGTTTAATGACCAAGACTGACAAGCTTGTGCTTAAGAGATTGTATACTCGGCTGGTACAAGACTCAGGATGCTATAGGAATCGGAACAAAAGAATAATATATAATACCAAATCAAAGAGAATATTCAATCATAATTTAAAGTAATGCTAAAGGAAACAAAATAATCTTATCAATGTTTTATAAATGGAGTCAGATAAAACGAGAATAAATATATTAATATTCTGGTAACACTTTACAATAAGGTTCATTAGTTGCATTAATGAACTAATCATGAACAACACATTTATTAATCATAACTGAACATTTACTAATGCATTATTAACATTCAAGCCCATGCGTGTTAACATTAGTTAATGCACCGTGAGTTAACATGAACTAACAATGAACAACTGTATTTTCATTAACTAACGTTAACTAGCATGAACAAATACAGTAGTAGATGTATTGTTCATTGTTTGTTCATGTTAGTAAATGCATTAATTAGCATTAACTAATGAACCTTATAGTAAAGAGGGACATATATATATATATATATGAAAAGTTCAGATGCAAAAACCTCTAAGTGCCATCTAGAATTATCTTCTACAGTGAGCATTTTTCTCTGCCTCTTATGTTTATGTTCAGTTATTTGATGTCAAAATTACTGAAAATAACCTTTTATTTGCTATAAAAGTTAAATTGCTGAATCAAAACACAGGAGGCTGAGAGAAATGCTAATGTTAGAAGAAATTTTCAGATAGCACTTCATATTTTATGTGAGATAAGAGAAGTTTGATTTTAAGTTTATGTGCATCATTTATTGAATTAATGTGCTAGTTTGTTAAATAATTGTGCTGAAAACTAATTAACTAAGTGAAGAAGTCTCTCTTGTTCCCTTTAAAGGACTAACAACATCTCTCATTAATGTAAAAGGTGGTTGCTATAAAATGGTAAATGATTTGACAATGTTCTGTAGCATTGCATTGGCTATGTTTTTATTTTATTTTAAATGCATATGCCATGTATAATCTTTTTATAATAAAGAGAGCTTCACTGCAGTTTTGTTCGCAGTTTAGCCTAAATATCCAATACTCAGATCTAGAAATCTAGAAGCCTTTTCTGGAGAAGTAGTCCAAATTAATTGACTTTTTCCTGAAAACAAGGAAAACAATATGACAAAACAATCCTGCCTTGCATTGAAATAACATTATTCTGCTAACCCTATTGGCAGGTCTTTTTTTGTTTATTTTAACCAGGTAAACTCTGCTGCTATTTTGGGAAATCCTTTAAATTTTCTTAAAACACTATTGAAAGTGTTTATAATATCTGTAGATGTTGTCAGTGTTATAATAAACACCTAATAAAAGAGGCGCTTTTTGTATTTTTTTAATAAACTCAAATGTGAAAGTGGACCTTTTAGGTTGTGTGTGGTCTAGTGTGCTGTAATTAATGTTGGTGGTTCCTGCACATGTCTGTAATCATAGGAAGAAAGAAAAATGTCTCCACCATAATCTATGCAGAAGTTATTGTATTCCAGCTGATGAGAGGTGCTGTACAAGCCACAGGGAGCGATCATTGTTTTCATATTTCACTATTCTTTTGTTTGATCAAACATAATTCACTGTGTTTGGAGCACATCAGACATATTAAAGGATTACTTATGCACATCACCTCAAAAACAGAGGAGAATGGCCCTGAAGCGCACAGCATAAGGTAAGAGATGACAGCTGTCTGTGCTATCTGGGGCTGCTTATTGATCATAAATGTATTGTTTTCACTTCTGCGCCATGGAAACACCACAATTCATTCAGCAACTGTTTGATATGTGAATATAATTCAGTATAAAGAATGCTAGAACCGTATGAGCACCGGCAAGAGCTTTCATTTGAGCTATAACTTGTACATGTGTCATATAAAAAACATGAAAATGAACCAATGTTCAATACCCAGCTCAGGGATCAATAATCCTGTGTATTTAAGTGTAAATAACTTTTGTACAGTAGAATAAAAACCACAGTGATGCATATGTGCATAAAATATAGATTCTACACTCTCAAATGAAACCACTTACAGGGGTCTGGTGCAACGCTAGCCCTTTAAATCTGAAAGCGAATGTCGGCGGAGTTTGAAAAGCTCACTTATTTTGGCATGCTATTTCTGAACACAAGACAATATTTTTTGCTTGTCTCGAAAATGCATGGGTCACACTTTATTTTGATGGTCTGTTTGCTGAATGTAAGTTACATTGCATCTACATGCCAACTAATTCTCAATAGATTATAAGTAGACTGTTAGGGTTGGGGTTAGTGTAAGTTAACATGTACTTGCAAAGTCTCTTATAGTCAGTTAAATGTCTGATGAAGGAGCAGAATCAGCAGATATTAAGCAGACAGTCTACTAATAGTCTACTAATACTCAAGTGGACCATCAAAATAAAGTTACCAATGCTTCTTGATTTAAGATTTGTTGGATATTTGGACTAGAAACAAGACAAACTCTAAAGGAAGAAAAGCATTTTGCAGTGTTAAAGTCAAGTCTCTCTCAATACAGTTAAATTAAATTCAATTACTGCTTTACTGGTGTGACAAACGTAACAAATGTATTGCCAAAGCAGTTCTAAAGTTTACATTTGAAAAGCACTCTCTCTCTCATTTCTGAGATTCCAGATGTCATGGGGTTGAGTGACACAAGGGCTGGAATGGGGTGTTTTTTCAGACGTCCTCTCACTGAAACTCAATACAACACCTCTAGATTGATGGTGTCAAACATCTCACTTCACGGTTCAGGAGAAAAGAAAACCTGCTCTGAGGGAAATCCAGAGTGAATGAGCGCTGTCTTTATATTCCTGCATTTAAATATGAATTAAATCTGCCTGAAAGGACTCTGAATGTGCTTCATTTACAGAAGCAATCGACAACGGAGCAGTTTTATTAATGCATTAACTCATCAGTGCATTCATTAATTAATGCATAATGTTTTGTAGGGCGTCACGGTGGCACAGTGGGTAGCACAGTAGCCTCATAGGCAAGAAGGTCGCTGGTTCAAGTTCCAGCTAAGTAAGTTGGCGTTTCTCTGTGGAGTTTGCATGTTCTCCCTGTGTTGGTGTGAGTTTCCTCCGGGTGCTCCGGTTTCCCCCACAGTCCAAACTCATGCGCTACAGGGGAATTGATCAACTAAATTGGCCGGAGTGTTTGTGTGAATGCAAGAGTGTATGGGTGTTTCCCAGTGTTGGGTTGCAGCTGGAAAGGCATCTGCTGTGGAAAACATATGCGGGATATGTTGGCGGTTCATTGCACTGTGGTGACCCCTGATTAATAAAGGGACTAAGCTGAAAAGAAAATGAATGAATGCATAATGTTTTATCACAAAGCATACTGTAAATATATATTAATTTTGATTAGTAATGTCATATTTGTACATGCATGCTGTAATTTTACCTAAAATGCACTGTAAATGTCATTAAACAAGTCTGTTTTGGAAACTGACTGTTAAATTGAAAGGGCCAGTGTACCCAAAAAAAAATGAAACTTACTGACTCTTTACTCACCCTTAAGTGATTCACCTTCATGAGTTTCTTTCTTCTGTCGAGCTCAAAAGAAGATACAGTATTTTGAAGATTGTTGAAAGACTATCAACTTCCTTAAAAGGGAAAAACAAACATAGAAGTTAATGGTTATAGGTTTTCAGCATTCTTCAAACTATCTTCTTTTGTGTTTAAAGGTGTAGTATGTAGGTCTGACACCTAGTGGTTGAACTAGATATTGCACTCCTGGTTCAAAACCCATTTTCACCTAGCCCTTTCTCCGAAAACTCCACGGTTTAGCTCATGCTACAAGCGACGACACAATAAAGGCAAATTTACCTAATTAAATTTTGTCTTAACCAACACCTGAAATTAATATTTTAGAAACTGTTTCTATTTCTTACTGCTGAACAACAGAAAACTGACAATGATCACACACCAGAAGCGCTTGAGAGCGTTATGGAGAGTCATTCAAACACTAGCTCTAAAGTGACGTTGGTGAATTAGTAACGGCTTCTGCTGTTCTGACGTCAGCTGCAGATGTGAATGAATGGTGGAAGAAAGTAGTTCCTCATACAAAAGGGTTTTAGACTCTCTGTCGCTGTATATCGCCCCACCAGTGCTGATATACAGTCATATCACACTGCTACGAGTGTGATATTGCTCATAAATATTGTGATGTATTTTTGTGGTCCTGTGGTGTTTAGTTTTCCTCTCTGTAGTTCAGAGGTGGTGTTTGGGCTTGTCG